GAGCGTGGCCATCGAGTACATCCGACTGCGATCAACGAAGCCGTGTCGAAGGGTCACCTGCCCGTCGTGTGCTACCTCCACGAGAGCTTTGGCCAGCACTGCAGCTTCCAATCCCTCTTGGCTGCCTTTTGGGAACGCCATCTCGACACCGTGACGTACGTGCTCTCGCATCGTTGCTGGCTCGACGAGCCCAATCTGCGCACCGACGAGGGGTTCGATCGGATGACGCACAGTCTGTTCTTGGCCGCTGCGCACGCTGGCAGCCTCACCATCTTGCAGCTGGTTTGCGACGCAGTAAAAGAGCCGACAGCGCGATTGATGCAGCTGCCACGCCGCGTCTCGGAGCGCATGATGATCCGCGCGGCAGCCCACGGCCACCTCGACATGCTCCGGCATTTGCACGACGTCTACGGCTTTGCGTGGACTGGCATGGTCCACGCGGTAGCGTGTCGTCGCTGCCGCAAGGAGGTACCACGCTGCTTGCAGACGCTCGGATCCGTCGACGCAGTTACGTATGGTGATGACGACTATCGTTTGTGGGACGAGGAATTTGATTCGTCGTTTGTGGTTTGATTAAGTCCATAGTCCCGTATGTGCAGTGTGCTGGATCCGGCTTTCCCAAATTCAAGCTCACACTTCACTGGATGGTCCATTGCGGGGCTAAATGTATGACACGCCCGTGTCATTCGATCCACGAAAACCATCTACCCGCTTGTTGGTTGAAGCACCATGTAGAGTAGAAAAGCTAGTGTACGAAATCGTTCCTGTGCATTACTTGTGCAGCATCAATCGGATGTGTCGAGGCGTACTGCTGTCGTTGCCGTGGCGACTGGCAAACTTGATGGCGTCCAGCAGCTGCGTGCACGCTGGCAGCGTCTTGCGTCCATCGACCAACGCTCGAAGACAGCGTTTGATCTACGCAACAACATGCCCGTCAAAGGGCAATCTCCCGGCTCGATACCTTGAGCGGCGACGACGCTGCAAAGACGCCTTGGGCGAGGCTATGGTCCAAGACCAAGATCGTCGCCGCCATCGCGCGCATGCAGTAGAAAGCTTGCGCTGCGTCCAGCGACCTACGTTGCCCATCCATCACCCCTACGACTATGTAGTACGGTATGGTCGACGTACGCCGACTTGGTCGATAGCGTTGCGTAGGCCGCGTGGGCGACAGATGCCAGCGCGGTCGCTGCGTCGGGGTGCTACCGTAGCGCAGCACATCATTTTAAAAACCATTTGTGGTCGAGCGTACGTGCAACAAGGTATCGGCAATGGCGCGGCCAAGGAGCTTGATCGCGGGCATGTGCTCACCGAGGAAGAGGGAGAGCGCGTTCACTTGCGTCTCTGAAATCCTACCAAAAAAACAAGTCGACACAATGGACATCCTATGATCCTAAAGTGTACTCGTGCATCGCATTCTCCCTCTTGGCGGAGGATGCGAGATGCCGTCGGTAGAGACTCACGTCGTTCTGCACGCGGGGCGTCATGGCCTATAGAAAAGTCTGATGTAGCAACGGCGGCACGCGAAGCTCAACCTTGAAATTGTCAAAAGCGAGCGCAAAGATGCAGATATCGGCCACTCTCTGCAGCTGCTCGCGCTGGTTTGCGCTGGTAGCTAACACAGGAGATGCTGCTCCGGCCATGCTACTTGGATGCTACTACGTACTCTCTGGTGGTGCCAGAGCCAGCAAGAGCTGGGGCAAAATCGCGCCTACCACATTCAGGCTCGCACTCGTTCTGTGCACGATGAGCGACGTACCATGGTGCATCGCCACCAAGTACACTTTGTGAAGGAGTGCTATGTTGGCCTCGAGTGATGGCTCCGAGGCCTGATGATGGATCATACATCACGAAGGCCAACAGCTACAAGTCGCGCGCGAACCTGGTTGGGCAGCTCGGCTTCGTAGGCTTGCAGCTGCAGCATGAGACCCTCGGCGACGTCGTCGGTGCTCGTTCGCGTCGGCGCTTCTACAAACCGAGGGTCCTCTCTTGTGCTTGCTCGAGAAGCCTCGTACCATCGTCTGGGAGCAGGAGCAGCTTGGCCTTGGTCGTCTTGGATGCATGTACGTTGCCCATGGTCACGGATTCGATACTCGTACGAGCAGCGGTTTCAGAGATATTGGATATGTCTCCGTCGCTTATGCTCGTGCATCCGCCATCCTATCTCATGCATCTCGCCATGATGACGTCGTCGTCGCCAGAGGTTGATGATCGGTCCGAAGCGTAATGCAGCGTACTGCGTGAGAGCCCATCCGCAACTGCCTTTAACGCCGTCGACGCAATCCACATATAGTATGATTGATCGTCCTATCTGTCATATCAAAGGCGGCGCAATGCGTAGCACCGCATGAGATCGCGTCGCATCCTGCGCATGTCACGCTGAAGGTAGTTAGGCGCCAAATGAGAGCCTTTTGGACTGTCATTGCTGCCAAGAAGCGGTAGCATCTCCAGCGAGCGAGTACTCGATGCACGCCTGCAGCCTCTCGACCCGACCGTCCAATCTCGGAGCGCTCGCTACTTTATGTAATCTTGGAGACAGGCATTTCCCGCTTCGCGTGTGAGCGTGTGAGCTTGCATTGCGAGATGCATCGTCTGCAGGATCCAGATTGGTGTGGCCAGTGGTCTCACCCAGTGTGCTGCACCCACCCCAGTAACGTGTTCTTCGCATGCCATGCGCGGTAGAACGCTTCCGGAGCTCCTCCGCTTCATACCCGCCTGTCTGCCATGCCCCGGATACGGGACCGGAATCGAAGAGCGAAGATCCACTCGAAGATCCGGTTGGTATTTGTGGTCGGTGCCACTGCGAGGATATTCTGCTAGAGCCAAGGACGAGATGGCAACAACGCGGCTACAGCTCGATGCGCTCTAGGCCAGGCGGGTGCGGGACGACGCCGTCGGCGTTGCTGTGGTCCGTGGCGTGCTTGGCGATCTTGTAGTGCTGCGTGCAAACGCCATTGACCTTGCCGAGACGCTTGCACGTGGGGACGCTGCAGAGCAGATGCTGGCGGTGCTGGTTGCACAAGCCGCCGCCGCGGTCCTTGTTGAAGCAGCCCGCGGCCGCGCAGAGAACAAAGCCGCCGTGCATTGAACAGCGCTTGCCACGCTGCGCTCGCATGTGGCAGCCTGGCTGCATGCAGAGCTGGCCACCGCCGTGCGCGATGCACTTGCCGCCGGCTTGGGAGCTTTTGCTACAGCCTCGCACCAAGCAGCGCGGGCCA